TCTGAAGAAAATTTAAGATTGACACTGAATGAAATCATGAGGTGATCAGTAAATGGAAGTTCATCAGAAGAACATTTAAGAGGAGAGAGTCCAGAGCAGCATAGTAAGTCCAAAGTGTGGCCCTTTATGTGGGTTGGAAAGTTAATGAACTGCTGGAAGCCACAGCTGTCAAGGCAGGATGTGAACTCTCTGGTGAGGGGGTTGTTGTCTTCATCCATATGAATGTTTAAGTCTCCAGGTAGAATAATGTTGGGTGAAAGAGCCGAGAGATGGGCGATTAGAGCAGCAAAGTAATTTATAAGAGTTGTTCATTTTGGGCGGGCGGTAGAAAGTGGCAACAACGGTGGGGGTAGGGCCGGAGAGTAAACGCACAGTGTGCTCAAAGGAGGGGAAGGGAGGTGTGTGAACCGGTGTGACCTTCCAGTTCTTGTGGTGAATTATCGCGAGACCTCCTCCGTGGCGGGACTCATGGGATTTGGCGATGTAAACAAACCCCGGTGGGGTAGATTCATTCAGATGGAAAAAGTAATTTTGTTGTTGCCACATTTCTGTTAGACAAATAAAATCTAGCTTACGGTCAGATATTAGATCTTGAATAAGCTGACCTTTGCCTGTGAGTGAGCGAACGTTCAGAATTCCAAACTTTACGGAGGAGGAGTTGGTAGCGACTGGAGCATTAGCCGACCAAGCTAGGATGGCTAACATGCTATTACTGTTAGCGGCCCAAGTATTGCGGCGTGTAGAATGGTGAGAGTCAGACCAGATGGAGTTTATGGGGTTAGTCTTGTCAGTGTGGAGTCTACGGCGGGAGCCACGGTAAATGTATCTCCAGCGAGGATGGAAGGCAATGTCCTGAAGAGGGAGCACAGGCGGCATGGCCGGTAGGAAACGAAGGCAAAGGAGCTCGACTGCTGAGTAATGGAGAAGGCCAGACGCCAGGCGGTGGATGAGCAGCTGGAGAGTCCAAACCAGAGCAGGCAGCAGGTAAATCCTAATAAACCGTGTGGTTGATATTGAGATGGATCAGAGACTTGGTGTAGTGGAAAGGTAGGAAGGATTGAATAAAACAGAAAAAAGCAAAAAAGCACGACGAGCAACAGCAGCCAGGATGCGCCAGCGTTCACTTGCCGGAAATAATCTTTAGTGTCCAGCCTCCTATACAACTCATCATACGCCCTTTTCTTTGCCTTGGCTACCTCCCTCTTTTCTCTCTGTCCCATCTCCTTATATTCCTGTCTCCCCTCTTCCTTCCTCTCACTGTCATATTTATTCTTGGCTAACCTCTTTCTTTTAACGGTGTCCTGCACTTCACTATTCCACCACCAAGTTTCCTTATCCATTTTCTGTCCAGATGACACACCAAGTACCTTCTTACTTGTCTCTCTAATTACTTTTGCTGTAGTAGCCCAGTCATTTGGAAGCTCTTTCTTACCACCCAGAGCCTTTAACAGCTCCTTTCTGAATTTCTCACAACATTCTTCCTTCTTCAGCTTCTACCATTTGGTCTTCTTCTCTGATTTTTCTCTTTTTCTCTTCTTTACAACAACAGTAATTCTACACACAACCATCTGATACTGTCTGGCCACGCTCTCCCCTGCCATAACCTTAGGGTGCATTCACACCAGCCCTGTTTATTCCGCTTTAATCGAACTCTAGGTTGTTTTCCTAGGAAGTTCGGTTCATTTGGGGAGGTGTGAACGCGCCATCGAACTCTGTCACGGAACAAAAAAGCGATCTCTGGCCCAGGCTAAAACCTAGGTCTCGGTCCGGTAGAAGAAAACTCCAGCGCGGTTCGAGTACAATGTGAACGCAAGCAGACTGGGCCCCACTCCACAAGCAAGAAGTGGTCTACAGCGCAGGGCAAACACACGCATTTCTCTTACCTCATATTGAGCTGTCAGCTGCCTTGTGTGAAAAACAACATTCTCCATGGTCTTCTGTCTCATCTTCTGCTCATGCTGAGTCCATTTTTGAAAAATGACAAAATATAACTCCTAAAACTGCTAAAATTTGATGCCACTCCGTTTTTGTTTTTATTTCCAGAAGAAGAAGAAGAATTGTCTTCTTCAGAGGTTTTTGTCATTTCTTTCAGTAGTTCTTGGTGCAGCACCACTACAGGCGAGTGGGGAAACAGGTTGGTTTGAACAGGTTGGCTTGATTGCACAGTGCAGTGTGCATGCAAATGCACCAGCTCAAATGTAAACACAATGTTATGAATATTGGTCCCCAACCGAACTGAGTCTACCGGACTATCAGGTGTGAAAACAACCTTACAGTCTCCAATCTCCCTCAGGTTTCTTCTTCTACACAGAATGTAGTCAACCTGCGTACTCCTTCCTCCACTCTTATAGATCACTCTATGTTCCTCTCTCTTTTGGAAATAGTTATTGACTATAGCCAATTCCAATCTCTTGGCAAAATCCACCACCATCTGTCCTTCCTTGTTTCTTTCCTCAACACCAAACCTATTTATCTCTTCCTCATCCCCTCTGTTTCCTTCACTAACATGTCCATTCAGGTCTGTTCCGATCACCACTCTTTCCTCCCTTTGAATACTCTCTATCACTTCATCCAGATCCTTCCAAAATGTATCTTTGTCCTTCCCATCACATCTATCCTGTGGCGCATAACCACTGACAATGTTTAGCATCAGACCTTCTACTTCTACCTTCAGGCACATCATCTTATCTGACATTTTTTTTCACCTCTACTACATTCTTCGCCAACTCCTCCTTCAGGACCACCCCTTCTCCATTTCTCTTTCTATCCACACCATGGTAAAACAGTTTAAACCCTGCTCCAATGCTGAGAGCCTTGCTGCCCTTCCACTTGGTGTCTTGGACACTTAAAACATCTACCTTCATTTTCTCCATCATGTCCAACCCTAACTATAGTATTTATTAAAAAGGAAAGTCTTAAGCCTAGTCTTAAAAATAGACAAGGTGTCAGCCTCACAGACAGAAACTGAAAGTTGGTTCCACAAGAGAGGAGACTGATTACTGAACGTTCTGCCTCCCATTCTGCTTTTGGAAACACTGGGAACCACAAGTAAACCTACAGAGTGAAGTGCTCTGTTAGGAAAATATGGACCAATAAGTTCTGTAATATAAGAAGGAGCCAGGTTGTTGAGAGCTTTGTAGGTTAGAAGTAAGATTTTGAATTCAATTCTAAATTTGACAGGTAGCCAATGGAAAGAAGCTAAAACTGGAGAAATATGATCTCTCCTACCAACTCTTATTAAAAGTATGGCAGTAGCATTTTGAATAAACTGTAGACTTTTAAAAAAAGTATTTGGACACCCAGATAATAAACCATTGCAATAGTCCAGCCTAGACGTGATAAATGCATGAACCAGTATTTCTGCATCATTTTTAGATGCAATATTTCTAATTTTAGCAATATTCATTCATTCATTCATTCATTCATTCATTCAACCTTTATTTATACAGGTTAGTGTCATTATAATATACCATACAAGGTTCTGGTAATGTTTTTATTATGGGGTTAAATGACATATCCTGATCTAAAGTAACAACAGGATTTATAACTTTAGAACTGGAGGCCAAATTAATGTCATTCAGAGAAAGTGAAAGACTGCAAAATTTATTCCAAGCCAAATGCTCAGGTCCAAAAACCAAAACCTCAGTCTTGTCTGTATTCAAAAGCAGAAAATTAAGGGTCATCAAGGTTTTTATGTCTTTAAGACATGCTTGTAGTCCAAGTAACTGATTGGATTAATTGTGTTTCATGGACAAATATAACTGTGTATCATCAGCATAATAATGAAAAGTTATCCCATGCTGTTTTATAACTTTACCTAATGGAAGCATATATAAGGTAAAGACTACTGGTCTAAGCACTGAATCCTGAGGAACTCTATGACTAACTTTGGTTTGTGATGGAGATTCATTATTTACATTTACAAATTGGAATATATCAGGTAAATGTGATTTAAACCATTTTAGAGCTTCTGCAGTGAAGAATCATAAAATGGAACACTTAGATGCTGCTGATCAAATATATTAATTAATTGATCCTCATCAGTGTGACCACTTCTGTAAAAGCAGAAGTTTTTGCTGCCCTGGAGCATACAGGTGTTAACACAACTGCAGGGTTGAAATACATTAGCAATGACCTTAAGAAGCAATTGCTTCTGCAACCCCCCCCCACACACACACACATATCTGTGTGTGCAATTATCTGAGAAATCTAAATTTGGCATAAAACAGCAACATAGTAGCTGAGTTAGAACTGCATGACTTTGCTGCAGTTTACTGAAAAGCTAAAGGAAAGTTATCTATCTATAGATATAGATATATTGATCTATAGATATAGATCTATAGAGTGATCTATAGCTAGATGGATCATTTGGTACATAGTTGGACTGTACTTATATAGTGCTTTTCCATCTTATCAAGATACTCAAAGCTCTTTACAACACAATCGGTGCCCTCATTTACCCATTCATACAGCACTCTACTATTTCTGTCCAAAGAATAATCAGTATTTTATCACCTTCATACACTGATGGGACACACATCAGAGGCAATGAGGGGTTCGGTGTCTTGCCCAGGGACACTTCAACAAGTGACTGCTGGTGGAATCGAACCCCCAACTCTTGCTTTGTAGGACAACTGCTCTAACCTCTCAGCCACAGCTGCCCCATAGATAGGTAGATAGATATATTGTTTGTTTTTATGTTTGTAGGTAGGTAGGTAAGTAAGTAATCAATTTGTAAGTGACAGTCCTGAAAACAAATAGTTAGTAATACAAATTTCAGAAATGGCTTGTTTTGTTAAGTAAACAACATAATTTTTACTTGTGAATAATATTTACATTAAATATATATTTTTATCAATCATTTTCCCCCCCATTACCATTATTGCATAGTTGCACTGGAGAAATATGAAATGAAATGATGGTAATTTTAAAGGACTAAATGCAGAAAGTGAAATGATCTGAATGAGGATGATGATATTAACATATATGCTGTCTTGCAGTATTCACTGCCTCTCCAGCTGATCAACAACAAGGTGATGACACAGTGGATGGAAATCCTGCGATCAATAATGGACCGTGACGTTCCCGCTGTAAGCCACTTGTTTTTTTTTTATGTCATTTACTGAATTAACTGAGTAAATTATTTTTATTGTTTTGACTCAGATTCTATTACTGAAAAGGGTTACAAGTACCAACTTGAGAAGTTATTCATTTGTCAAAATACAGGGTTAGAACTGCATGACTTTGCTGCAGTTTGATGGAAAGCTAAAGAAATTTGTTAAAAGTTAAATGAAGCAGACTTCCTAGCTAAAAGCTAAAATGAGCAAAAAAAATACCCTTGCTAAAATGAAAATGTAGCAATATCGTAATGCATTTGGTAGAAAAACCAAAAAAAATTGTCAGGTCCTCTGGACGGGTTCAAAAAAACAAAAAATTGTAGAAACGTTTCGTCTTTCATCCGAAAGATGAAACGTTTCTACAAATTTTTTTTGTTTTTTTGAACCCGTCCAGATGACCTTAATTAACTTCCTTAGAAAAAGTAGCCTTCCCATGGGCTCACCACCTGTGGGAGGGGCCAAAGGGGTTGGGTGCAATGTGGGATGGGTGGTGGCCGATTGCGGGGACCCTGGCGGTCTGATCCTCGGCTACAGAAGCTGGCTATTGGGACATGGAATGCCACCTCTCTGGTGAGGAAAGAGCGTGAGCTGGTGTGTGAGGTTGAGAGGTTCCAGCTAGAAATAGTCGGACTCACCTCAACGCATGGCTCTGGCTCTAGAACCAGTTTCCTTGAGAGGGGTTGGACACTCTTTCACTCTGGAGTTGCCCCTGGTGAGACGTGCCGAGCAGGAATGGGCATACTTGTTGCCCCCCATCTTGGTGCCTGTACGTTGGGGTTCACCCCGGTGAACGAGAGGGTAGCCTCCCTCCGCCTACGTGTGGGGGGACGGGTTCTGACTGTTGTTTGTGCTTATGCGCCAAACAGCAGCTCAGATTACCCACCCTTTTTGGAATCTTTGGAGGGGGTACTGGAGAGACACCTCCTGCGGACTCCCTTGTTCTACTGGGGGGACTTCAACACTCACGTGAGCAATGACAGTGCAACCTGGAGGGGTGTGGTTGGGAGGAACGGCCCCCCTGATCTGAATCCGAGTGGTGTTCTGTTTTTGGACTTCTGTGCTCGTCATGGATTGTCTATAACAAACACCATATTCAGGCATAAGAGCGTCCATATGTGCTCTTGGCACCAGGACACCCTAGGCCATGGTTCAAGGATCGATTTTGTTGTCATCTCATCTGATCAGCGGCCGCATGTTTTGGACACTCGGGTGAAGAGAGGGGCAGAGCTGTCCACTGACCACTACCTATTGGTGAGTTGGCTCCCATGGTGGGGGAAGGTGCCGGTCAGACCTGGCAGACTCAAACGTATTGTGAGGTTCTGCTGGCAATATCTGGCAGAGTCTCCTGTGAGATGGCGCTTTAACTCCCACCTCCAGGAGAGCTTCAAACACGTTCTGGGGGAGGCGGGGGACATTGAGTCCAAGTGAGCCATGTTCCACTCCTCTATTGTCGAGGCGGCTTATCGGCGCTGTGGCTGCAAAGTTGTTGGTGCCTGTTGCAGCGGTAACCCTCAAACCCGGTGGTGGACACCGGCGGTGAAGGATGCTGTCAGGCTGAAGAAGGAGTCCTATCGGGCCATTTTGGCCTATGGGACCCCGAAAGCAACTGATTGGTACCGGCAGTCCAAGCGGCATTGGGCTCAGGTGGTTGCTGAGGCAAAAACTCGGGCGTGGGAGGAGTTAGGAAAGGCCATGGAGAATTTCTTCCATACGGCTTTGAGGCGATTATGGTCCACCATCAGGCTTCTCAGGGAGGGAAAATGGTATGCCATCAACACTATTTATAGTGGAGATTGTGTGCTGCTGACCTCAACTCGGGATGTCGTGGGTCGGTGTGCAGAATACTTTGAAGACCTCCTCGATCCCACTGGCATGTCTTCCACTGAGGAAGCGGAACCTGGGGACTTGGGGTCGGGCTCTCCAATCTTTGGTGCTGAGGTCACCAAGGTGGCTAAAAAATTCATTGGTGGGAGGGCCCCAGTGGTGGATGAGATTTGCCCGGAGTTCCTTAGGGCTCTGGATGTTGTGGGGTTGTGTTGGCTTACTCAACTCTGCAATATTGCGTGGACATCAGGGGCATTTCCCCTGGATTGGCAGACTGGGGTGGTGGTCCCCCTATTCAAAAAGAGGGACCATAGAGTGTGTTCCAACTACAGGGGGATCACGCTCTTAACTTTCCCTGGTAAGGTCTATTTGGGGGTTCTGGAGAGGAGGGTCCATTGAATTGTCAAACCTCAGATTCAAGAAGAGCAGTGCGGTTTTTGTCCTGGTTGTGGAACACTGGAGCAGCTCTACATCCTCAGCAGGGTCTTGGAGGGTGCATGGGAGTTTGTCCAGCCAGTCTACATATGCTTTGTGGACTTGGAGAAGGCGTTGGACCACGTCCCTCAGGAACCCTGTGGGGGGTACTCCCGAAATATGGGGTACCAGGCCCTTTGATATGGGTTGTTAGGTCCCTGTATGACTGGTGTCAGAGCTTGGTCCACGTTGCCGGCAGTAAGTCGGCCTCATTCCCGGTGAGAGTTGGACTCCGCCAAGGTTGTGCTTTGCCACCAATTCTGTTCATAACTTTTATGGACAGAATTTCTAGGTGCAGCCAAGGTGTTGAGGGGATCCATTTTGGTGGCCTTAGGATAGCTTCTCTGTTTTTTGCAGATGATGTGGTCTTATTGGCTTCATCAGCTCGTGATCTACAGCTTTCGCTGGAGCGTTTCGCAGCCGAGTGTGACGCGGCCGGGTTGAGTATCAGTTCCTTCAAATTTGGGGCCATGGTCTTGTGTTGGAAAAGGATAGACTGCCCACTCTGGGTCGGGAAGGAGGTCCTGCCCCAAGTGGAGGAGTTCAAGTATCTCAGGGTCTTGTTCATGAATGAGGGAAAAATTGAGCGTGAGATCGATAGGCAGATAGTTGCAGCATCGTTAGTGAAGCGGGCGCTGTATAGGTCTGTCATGGTGAAGAGAGAGCTGAGTCAAAAGGCGAAGCTCAATTTACCGGTCGACCTACGTTCCTACCCTCATCTATGGTCATAAGCTTTGAGTTGTGACCGAAAGAACGAGATCACAGATACAGGCAGCCGAAATGAGTTTTCTGCGCAGGGTCTCAAAGTAGAGCCGCTGCTTCTCCACATTGAGAGGAGCCAGTTGAGGTGGCTCGGGTATCTGGTTAGGATGCCTCCTGTACGCCTCCCTGGTGAAGTGTTCCAGGCATGTCCCACCAGGAGGAACCCCAGAGGAAGACCCAGGACACGCTGGAGGGACTATGCTTCTCAGCTGGCCTGGGAACACCTTGTGATTTCCCCGAAAGAGCTGGCCCAAGTGGCTGGGGAGAGGGAATTCTGGGCCTCCCTACTTAGGCTGCTTCCCCCGCCACCCAACGTCCTACGACTGTAAACGTTTGTTATAAATCCACGTCAAATATTATTCCTTGGTATGCGGTGAAATATGCAGTAACAAAGCTTGAAAAAGCGCTAGAAGTCACTGTTGCCTGTAGCTATGTAGCTTCTTTAAACTTAGTTTGCAAACAGTGCTGAAACTCCAGAAGACGCTAATTAACTGGTTATAGTTCACATGACACAGGTCTGTTTTGACGGGGGGGTGGGTGTCTGTCCCCTACTTTGCATGCATCAGGCGGCTGCACTGAACAGACCGCTGCGCTCGGGCTGACAGTCTATTATAAAATGGGAGATAACCTTGTGGCCAGTTCGCAACCGCGCAGCATAGATTTCCTTGTGTGCAGAGAATGTGTGAGCAGTGCCCGATTGCGTAGGCCCATAGCTTAGAGGGAACACTGGTCATGAGGACTCATTTACAAGAGAGACCTGTTTTAAACAAAGAACACAGATGAGGTACAGACAACAATAAACAGCCATAAAATGCATGTAAAATGAAAAGTAAATAAAATTAATGATGTAAAACAAAATAAAAACAAGCTACATTATAAAACGGGGTAAAATACTAAAAACAGGAACATGTCTGCATTGGTTTTTGCATTAAAATTAACAGTTGTTTAAAATCCCTTAGAGAGGTCAAAGTCTACAACGTCAGATCTTTTTGCAAGTTGTTCCAAGATGAGCAGAGTAAGAGAAGGCCTTTTTGCCTAGTTCTGTCTGCACTGAGGGGACGCTGCAGGTGATAATGTCTTGAGAGCGCACGCTGTAGCTGCACTGACAACGTGACATATAGAAGGAGATCTGGTCTCTCTTGTAGATCTGGTCTTCCTTTTAAAAGAGAGTTTTTCCTTTCCAATGTTGCCACTGTGCTTGCTCAGGATGGGAGACTGCAACGAAGCCAAGATTCAACTTCTCTGCTGGATTCCTTAGATAGAGAACTTTACTAATTGGCTTTTATGTTTTTGAATGTTTCTGTAAAGTACCCTGAGACAACTTTGTTGTGATTTGGTGCTATATAAATAAACTGAATTGAATTGAATTGAATTGTAAATGAGTCCTCGAGGCTCAATGGTATTTACCTGTCTAAATAAAGGTTGAATGAATATAAGAAAGCAACAGGCTAAGGAGTGATTTAAACATGAAAATGTACCAGAGTGAGAGTCTATGTGAAGTTACTAAAAATTACAATAAAATTATATTAAATTAAAAGTAGCAATAGACTGACTAAAAAAATAAAAGTAGCAAAAAATTAGTTAAAACGTTAAAAGCACCAATTAAAGCAGCAAAATTGTAGTTAATAGCTAAAAGTAACATAACAGCAACTTAATAGTAACGTAGCAAAATTGGAGCTAAAACTAGCAAAAAGATAGCTAAAAGTTATAATAAACAAAGTCATATCTAAAAGCTTAAACTAGCAAAATGGGAGCTAGAAGCTAAATGAAGTACAAATTCAATTCTGTTTATTTACATATCGCCAAGTCACAACAGAAGTCATCTCAGGGCACCCAACAGAAACATTCATATATATATATATATATATATATATATATATATTAGGGCTGTCGTAAACAAATATTTTAGTAAT